AAAGAWGGTAAAAGTCTAAAACAAGCCTATTTTTGGTAACTTAGGCTGAGAGATTCTGCACCTACTCTGGCAGACACTGGCCAGCATAACATGTACACAAAGTACACTGCCAAAAATGTTGCCAACAAAAAACAAGGTCCCACACTCTAATATTTCATTGGACCGCCTTTAGCTTTGATTACGGCACACATTCACTGTAGAGTTGTTTGAATAAGCTTTAGCAATGTAAAAAGWTTTATTTCCACCCAGTGTTGCTTTAATTTTTGGACTCTGTGGTGGCCCAGTGGTGGAGCCAGACATTTTTCTCAGGGGTGGCCAGACAGGGACCACTACTCACACAGGGGGTGGCCAGGAAAATTACATAATTTTTTTCTTGAAAGTTTCTGCAGATATATTGATTTTTGTTCATTTCCTCATGTCCTTATACAGGCAGTGACTACATTATAAACATGGCGTCAGAACCATTTTAAAAGTGGGGGGACACACTGTTGGGGGTCTGGGGGTCCTCCCTCAGAAAACTTTTAAGAAAACAGATGCCATTTCCTGCATTCTGGTGTATTTTAATAGYTTATTAAACATAATTTTAAAATCAACACTTAATTTAATTATTATGTCAGAGACAGTCATTAAAGTAGTTTCATCATCCTGTTTTAAACTCACTGCTACAGCTGAGATAAGGTTAATTAAAGTGACACAATTTATCATCTCTATGACTTTAGGGTGCCTTTTACTTTTATATTGTTTGATTTATTTTTAATTGTAATACATATCATTGTGCCAAATAATGATGACCCTCAACTGCATGTTTAAACTAATATTAATAATTTTACCCAATGAACAGTTGCAATATAGATAACCACCTACAGTGAATTTAGAGGGATGTTTCATTTTTTATGATTTAGTGATAGGTCTACTCATAACCAAAAAAGGACAGAGCATCATGAAGCCTTCAAAACAAAAAATGACAAAAAAAAACAACATTTGTCATCATAAGTCCAAAAGTTGACACCATCAGTCAGATTAAGGCCCTTTCCCAATCAGTGGCTACACACTCGCTCTACTCCCTACTCACTAATTTTGCGTTGGCCAAATTAAGTCCCATCTGAAACCAATTAGGTACGAGGGTGAGTGGCTTATTAAGCCCTCCACAGCGAGTCAGCATCCAATGCAGCACATGTAGCACCAAACAGTGGTCAACATGGAACACGGGATGTATAAATATAAGTTCCATCTATGTTTTGCACACATATTTACTGAGTAAACACCTCACCACCAAATATAATTTCACATAGGATATATAAATTATGTTCAGTTCAATTCAAACTTTATTAAATACACAGAACCATGGTCCACATTAAAAACGTAAAGAAAAAATAAATAAATTATTTAAAAAATGTTAAAAGTGCAATTATTTTTGACAAGTTATCACACTGTGTTTGATACAAATACAG